TCAGTGAAGATGATAGTGCGGTATGATTGGATGTGAGAGCTCAGGCCTCTTGTAACCCTCTATTTTATCTGGTGAATAGACTCGTGACGGTGTGCGGAACGATATTGGATAGCGCAGGGTGGTAGTTTGTGGGAGAGTTGCTGGATTTGATGAAGGATATGCATTGCCCGTTGAGTTATTCTTGGGTAGACGGTGTTCGCGCGTGCCGAGTCGTGGTAAATTCGTTTTGTCGGAGGCGCATTTATTAGCCATCAGGGGGTGATCCGGCAGAGTAGGGTGTGGGTGAGAGATTGTGTCGATGGATGGTGTGGTGGCATGTGGTTCTGGCTGTGGTGTGAGGTGTTGGTTAGCGGATGTGTTGCGATTGGGGGGTTGGGAGTATTGTATGTGGGCAGTTAGAGTGATGTTATAGGTATAGAAGTGTGGTTGGGGGTGTACTTGTTGGATCCAGGGACTGGAACAGCTTAAGGGGTGAGCACAATTGCGTGTCAGTGAGGGCGTCGTTGTTGTTGAGGTCAAGTGAGGGGTGAGTGGGAAGGAGGCAATTTGAGGAACTGAGCTAGCGCTTTCTAATTTGAGTGTGTTTAAGGCGTAGGGGGCAAGGAAACCCGGCCCACGAGCTCCCGGGCAACTAGTCTAACAACTATGACTCTACTCTACACTCTGGTGCGGGCACCAATTTAATAATTTTTAAGTCGATATTCGGTACTAAATGGGGAAGGTTGTAGCAGAATGAGCGTAGTGCGGGAAAGAAAGTTTGTATTGATTGTTTGTTTAGAAGTTACTTTGGTAGCTATTCCTTGGATTGGGAAGTCTTGAGCGGTCAGTTCTGGACTGGGCTTGCAGGGTTTTATGCGTTGGGGTGCCTGCCCATAATCAGCGTCCAACGTTTTTGGTGGAAGGTGGGTTGAGGGTGAGGCTCGACGGATGATGTTGGTTCGCGTAGGTTTTTGGGTGGGTATGATCGAGGGCCACACATGGCGATGCCATTCAGAGATCAGCGTCTGGTGCTCGAGGGTCACGTGGAGGTTGTTCTAGTGAATTGGGTCCTCCCACACGTTCGGCTTGTGGCGGCGACCCATAAAAAATGGGAGCGCATTCTGACCCAGTTCAGCGCTTTTCTGATTTTTATAGTACGTTACACTGTATTGCCGGTTCTTCTGAGTTGGTGGCTCTGTTTTGGAGTGTCTCAGATGAACTGATCCATGCAACAAATCGAGGAGCAGACTGCTCTACAACAGTTTACTACTTCTTGGTTGTCGCGGTTGGAAAGGAGGAGCAAATGGCGTTCGGCAGAGTGTTTCCGGCTTGGCAATTTTAGTATAACATGGGTTGCTGGAGAATGGCTGTGTGCTGAGAATGGGTTTCGGTGATAAGTTGACAATGCTTTCAGGAGAGCTTATGTCACGTTTGTAGTGTTGGCTGCGATGGACAATTTTGATGGGAGATGAGGTTGATGGTTTGTGTGGCCATAGTGAGCCTGTCGGTGGTGTTGTTTGTTTCATTTTAGTCTGGGTAGTGTGATTGTGTGATGGTGGTGTGAGCCGCCGACTACTAAGAGGTTTCCAACAAAAGCAGGGTAACAGACATGGCGAGGAGAGGGTTGGTGCTGTAAACACACACCATCAGGATGAGCTGGATTTGTGTTTCGCGAAGGTTTGATGATTGGATGTACTTGTTGTTATGAATAGAGATGTTTGTTACGTGTGTGTCTGGAGGTGTGTTGTGTGTTGGCGGTGTTTATCGGTGGTGGGTGGTGATTCGGAGGTGGGTGGTGAGAAGTTGGTTGTCGCTGGATTTTTTTGTCGGTGAAATGAGGGAATTGGCATGGTTGGTGCGAGAGGAGGTAGAGTGTATAGGTATTGTGGAAGGTATGAATGGTTAGCGCTTGGGTGGTGTGGTGTGTGAGATGTAGGTGTGTGAGTTGTTGGGGACGAATCGCGAACGCTCGGAACTATATATGTGTGCAGTTCTGGAAATCTTGATGTGCTGTGGGTCGAGCGTGAATAGTTGCTTTTCCCAGGATCTCGTGCGGTGCTTCATCTGAGGTAGTATGTGGAATATAAGTTGGGTGATGACGTGGTTAGAAGCATTAGAGGTACGGATAAGTATAGGTTTGGTGATGTTGCGGAGAGTTGATGGGATTCAGTTTCCAAGAAGGCGTCGATCAGGTTTTACGTTTTTAAAAAACTTTCTAATATTATAATTTTAAAACATATATAAAAACCAATAAAAAATAAATAATAAAAAAACACTAAAAAAAAACCTTGATCTGTGTAAAACAAACTGAAATAACTTTAAAGGTCGACAAGACGGTAAACAAAAAATTTAAAAAACAAAAACGAGAATAACTTTGGGGCAAATAAATATAGCATATTTGTTTTCGCCTCTCTTTAGACTTGGGGAAGATAAAACAGGGAAAGTCTTACCGTAGTTGCGCATATGGTCAGTAACTAAGTTCGCTTTTCGAAATCAACGTTCAATAGAATGTCTAAATAAAAAGTATATATAGATAGAGACACAACGGTGGTGGGTTGACCATCGTCAGTTGGTGTGGTTGGAGAGGGTGAGGAGTCTAATAGCGAGAGGCAACTTACCGAAGAGGCTCGGAATCCTGAGAATCCTTGGGCTTGTGTTTAGGCTTGTTGGCTCTGGGGCAGCCGGAGAGCGAGCGGTGCGACGAGTAGTTTCCCGTGACGTGTCCTGACCCGTCGCATCCCGGCGTGGGGCACTTCAGTTCTTGTGTCTGGTGCTGGATGCTCGATCGGTCGGCGCGCGGACATCCGGACAGGCTGGATGGTGGGGCGAGGATAGACTTGGCCAGGTGAAGATTTTTTTGACCAAGACTGTGTGCAATAGGTTACATACGATGGGTGGTGGGGTAGATAACAGGTGGGCTGGCATGACTGTCCAGGGATGATTTGAAGGTATAAAGTCAGAAGGCATAGTGCGGTTTTTCTCTTTTGTTTTCTCTGTCTCCGTCTCAACCGCTATGGCTCATGAAAATCAAGCTAAGAGGCGACTACGGCAGTCACTGATAAGAAATCTATGGTAATGACATTTCACAGTCCCCAGCCCCCTACAGGTGAAGGCACATCACTCTTTCCACTACGAATTGGTTTCCTTCTTCCTTCATCCCACACCTCATACTGCGCTGCAGCATTAATGCGGTCAGGAGTGCATCGTGGCAGTATGACGCCATCATGCCATTCTCTATGACTGCCAAGGTTCCTCAGCGCTTCTCAGGCTAGCATGAATGAAGAAGGGAAGCTCATCGTCATCCTGAGAACAGCCAACGCTGCTCAGAGTAGGATGTCTCGTTTTACATGATTTAAACTGATCGTTTTTGAAATTGAAAAATAGCAAGAACAAATACTACCCTCTCACCCACATATGGCACCAGCAAACTCTAATGACACATCAATATTCTCGGAACATTTTAAGCTTTCTCATGATGTATACGAAAGTGCTTGGTCAGATCCGTAATATATACAGGAGGTGTCCGAAAGTGCTTATGTACAAGTAAAGGGAACCTACAAAATTCCCAGAACACAGTGATTAATCTTTATGATGATTTAAAACACCAGGCAACAAGGGAAGTCCTGGTACAAGGGAATACCACGGAGAGAGGGCCGGGTGGAGAGATGGCACCTGCAAGCATAACAGCATATCGCGGATGGGATGCGATTACAATAGTTTTGACTTGGTCTAAATTCAGCTGTGAATTCTCACTGCATGAACTTAACGATAGACTGTATTGATAGTCTGTCATAAGGAAATATAAAGTTGTATTTAAATGATGAACAGGTGAGGGTTGAAATCTTTTCGAGCATTTCAAAGTAGATGGCATCGCTGTTAGGCCAGTGGCCGATCTCCCCTTCCAAACCTTCTCGCCGATCGTCAGAGTGCAAATAACAGACAAGAGCTCAGTGAAAAACGAAATAGAAAGGTATCCTACAAAACAAAAAGGAAGACATGGAGAGGTGAAGATCACACTTGGCACACCCCCCTGGGATCCGCCGAAGCAGAGTGTGTGCCTTCACGATACACGATGGACACTCACCTGCGATGTGTGGCGTAGTTCCCCGTGACGTGGCCCATGCCATCGCAGCCGGGCGTCGGGCACTGGATCAACTCTTTGCCATCACGTCTATTGCTGCTCCGTGTATACGCGCGCACGCTGTGGCTGAGGGAATGGGACGCCATAATAGGGGGTCATGGGGATAAGGGCTGGGACTTATTCTACTCTACCTTTATTGTGACTGTCTACTTTGTGAAGCTGAGTTTATTTTCACAAAAATACTTGCGATTTGCATTGACAATGACAAAGACAAAAACAGCTCCACATACGAGTCTGCGTTTAGTGAAAGAAAGGACAATAAAGCAGCCACTGAACCCGCCCATACTGCCTGCGAGGGTAAGCTGTGAGGGTAAGTTGCAGGAATGACGGGCGTACCTATCAGGCATGGGCGTGGGCGGAGGTTGAGAGCGTGACGGGGAAAGCTGATAGGGCGTGGTGCAGGCGGTAGTGGTCATGTAGTCCCCACCCATTGTGGCACCGTAGCTCCCGGCCCCCATATAGCCTCCCTGGTAGCCCTGGTAGCCCATATAGCCGGTGTTATAGGCCGTGGTGACGTCGTAAGGCCGAGTTGTCATGGAGTTGTAGCCTAACAGTGGGGGCGGGGCTTGTTAGTGGTGTTAGAGGGAAATGCCAATGTTAGTACCAGTGGCGCTGAGTTAAGTCTACTATACAGTCACTCACTACACTCCTAAAGTGGTTAGCTACGAAAGTGGTTTTGTTCACACGTCCAATTGTTAGTGATGTTAGAAATGTTGAATCAATAAACTTTAATGATGCAGCAAATAATAGACAGGAAATTGAAATCTAACCAGATGAGCGGCTATTGCTTGACCATATCAGAGGCTTACCGTTCATATTCCGGAAGTCGTGGGTCCTGTCGGGCGTTGCTGCATAGCCGTTGTCGTGAGGCGGGCAAGCA